CGACCTCCGACTCTAAGTCTTGGGTTCGAATCTTGCCGATGACAATTCTCTTAATCTGATAATAATTCAAATTCCTAAAAAATATAAATAATAAAAATATAATATAAAAGGGTTATAAAAGGGAGAGGATAGTCTAGGAAACTCTAGATCAATAGATAGGGTAATTAGAGATGTGTTATGAGTGTTTTACAGTTTGAGGAATTTGTAGTTTAGTGGGAGTTAGTCACTTTCATATATTTTATGTTCTATGTTTAATTTCATATATGTATACATTGATTTTTGGACATATTTGGTTATCTATAGATATGCGGTTTTTTCGTTCATTCATTACACTTTGTACATTAAGGATATTATATCGATCTCGATAAGTTAAAGTTTGGACCAGTTGAAAATAGACGTGTACAGATTACCTTCACGTAATTTTTCATGCTACACATTTCATGATGAATTCATGTCATTTTGTTATGTTAGGATGAGTAATCATTGTTGGTTTTAGTTGCGATGATGCAATGAAAAATTATTTAAATAAAATAATTTATTTTTAATTATGTCAAAAATGGTCCGTTAGTCCGTTAGTCTAACATAGGGTCAGGTTAGGTCAAATTTTTTGACCCGTTTTAAAATATAAGTCAGCTTGGACTATTAGATTTTTTTTACTTAGCTTGTAGAGCCGAGCCGCCTATTTCGATAGTCCTACTTAGGCTTGTCTAGACTAGTTTCGTAAATTTGTTAGCAAATCGATTTTATAAAATATTAATTATTATTTTTTAAATAAAAATAATATTATTTTATTAAAAATTATATATATATATATATATATATATATATATATTATAAAATAATTTCACAAGAAATTGACTTATTCTAAAAATAAATAATAGATAAAATGTTCAATAATCATTTATTTAAAGATCGAATATATTTAAGATTAATAAATAATTTAAAAAATGAATAATAAGAATGAGAAATATTTTTTTAACTCTTATTTTAGGATTAAATGATTTTATTTTCTTATAATTTATATATTAAAATATTAAATCTTAAATAAAAATTAATTTAATTAATATAATTTAAATTTTAAAAATATAATTTTTATTTAAATATTTATTTTAATTAATTATTCTGGTATCATCATGTTAATATTTTTTTTAATGAAGTTAAAATTGATTCATTGACATAAGAAAGATTAAACTAAAAATTATAATTTATAGATTAAAGTAACTCATCAATTTTTTACTTGACTTCTAAAGACAAGTCAAGTTAGATCCCTTTTACACCCCAATGCTAATTAGTGTATTGACATTGATATGCAACAAGATGAACATATCAAATTCTCGTGAATAGAGAAGGCTACACTTTTTTTTTTTTTTTTTAAGTATGAAAAACACCTCGAATTTTACAACTTTTGTTGACATATCACAATGTCAAAGTGGGCACAAAAACACATCGAGATAAATGACTTAATAAGGAAATCGAGACACATCATACTACCACACGCCAAAAATATAGAAAATGCAAGAAAACAAAAATGGTGAAAATATACAAACTTTGCAGGTGGATGACAATTCCACGACAAACTGGATCAAGGAATCTTCACGTGAAAACTATGAGAACAATGACATGACTCAGGAGAATCAATTCCCACATGCAAAACCCTGACTTGCATAGTTCTAAAGAGGGTAACCACAACACCATCGTTGTAGAAGAATATTTTTGTCAGATAGCAGAGGGAGGAAAATCATAACACTAACACCCACTTTGAGGCAATGAAAAATACATGAAGATCTTCATGATCATGATGACGACACTGTCAATTTTGAAGGTTTCTATGTTGTTCTATCTTTCTCTCTCCCAAGCATGCACTTGAAGCTAAAAGTTCAGATGATAAATGTCCATCTTTGGAAGACATCTCCAGAATATTCACGAGTTTATTCCTAGTCTTAAAGAGGAAAAATTAAAACCCTAAACCCAAAACAATTATCACACAAATTTTTTTTTTTAATTTTTAAAAGCGTAAATCTTGAAAGTCACTTTTAAAAACAATAAACAAACTAAATCCTACATTTTTCATATGACTTTTACCCATGAGTTTTTTTAAGTCCCTTCAAGTGTATAATACAAGAAATCATTGATTTTCTGACAGATTTAAAATTTTCAATAAATTTTCACTATCGACAATTATCCATCAGTATCTAAATACATTTTTGAATTGATGAATTAGATTGGGTCAAAAATATGCACAAAACAATTTGGGATAAATTTTTAGGCGAAAAATTACCAATGGATGTGAACATCAAAAAGTTTGGTTTTTCATCTTCTCCCCTATGCTTCAAATAACTCATAATCACTCATTCAGAGAGAACATCGGAATGGAGAAGTGAGAATAAGAAGCCCAAACTGATCACTATTGTTGGGTTAGTATTCTTGTTCTTCCATTAGTCTAAGTTATGGTTCAAATCTAATATGATGTTTTCCGAGAACCGTGGAGTTAAATTTGGAACCATGAGGGTTTGAACTGGATTTTGAATTATTTTTTTTATAACAATTATTTGTATAAACTATAATAGATTTTCTGTTTTACATGTTGTCCTACTCTTGTAATTATGTAAATGGCATATTTAAACATAAACTATTGCAATGGATGAACATAAACCATACACAATGATGAGTTTTCGTTTGCTGAGAGATTAATTAACAAAAGTTAAACACATGTTTGTTAATGAGGTTACTATAGTATGTTTCATATGCAAGATAGATTATATATATATATATATATATATATATATATATATATATATATATATATATATATATATGTTGGAGTAAATGCATATGATTGGAGAGAGGATGTGATATAATCTTAGCCAATTAGTTTCAAGGAAATTTACCTATTAGGAAGGAATATGTCCATAAAAAGGTAACTTTTTATGACAGCGGGAGAAAGGGTAATTTTTTTTTGTCGTCGTTTGGTATAAAAATGAAATGAAATAAAATGAATCATAATCCATTTCATTACATGGTTTAACATCATTTTTCTTCCTCTTTTGGATCCACCAACTTTAGATTAATTTTCTCCTTAAAATTTATGATATACTTTAAATGAAAAATTAATTATAGTCTCTCAAGAATATTGCTGAATTAACAAATAAAAGTAATATATATATATATATATATATATATATTAAAAAAACCAATACTTACATAAGTTTTTTAAATGTGCATTTAAAACGTTATTAATTAATATTACATTACAATTGTTATAAGTGTTAACTGTGTGACATCCATTAAATACATTCTAATTCCTTTAATATAGAAAATTTATTTTATCTACCTATTTATGTAATTAACAATTTTAAAAAAAATGTATTTTAGTTTTAGAAGACAAATAAGTTGAAAGGGATATGTCTCTTTTTCCAACATCAGTTTGACGCATTTGATGATATGATCTCTGCACATCTGTTGGGTTTAAGACAGACATAACTTAACCATACTGACAATTGACCACCACAGTTGACATCCTTTTTCTTCATTATATATATATATATATATATATATATATATATATATATATATATATATATATATATATATGCACTTTCTTTTTATATATTTTCTTTATTTATTTATACTAACTATCTTTGTTTGGAAATTATAACAATAAAACTCTGTATATGTTAAATTAATTCTTTAAATTATATGGAAATATAGTAATAAAATTTTTTAATACATATTATTGAAAAGATATACGTAGATTAGTAGAAAGATAGTTCATGAACCAGCATTTAGATCTATTTGTTTGGTATATAAGAATAGCTTATTGTAAACATAAATTTACTTTTTATATCATTTCGAGCATTAATATTATATGATTCTCCTCCAAGTTTTATCGTTAGCAACGTTTAAGATTACTTACCATCGTAACTATCCTTTAAAAAGAAAAAACTACTTACAAAATTAATGTATAATAATATAATCATTAATTAGATAATAATTAATTTTATTTTTTTATATGTACATTTAGTTTTATCATATTTTTTAGTTATTAATTTTTCAGTACACTTTATATTTCTAAATTACATCTCCCCTAATATATGAAAAGTTAAATCCTATAACATTATGTCTCCTTTATTATTCAATGAACACCCCTATTTATTTCTCTAAATTATTTTACTAGGGGCTATCAGGTTATTCATATATACATAACCCAATATTGGATTTGTTAAAACCAGGTTATATAACAAAATATATAACCTAAAATTGGTTTGCAAATTTTACTTTTTATTTAATTGAATTTAAGGTCAAGCTAAAGATATTTTAGTTGAGGTTGATAAAAAAACATCCTCAACTAAACTCAGGTAAAAATATTTTGTTAAGGCAAAGTTATTACTTTGACTGAAACCGAATAGAATATACTTTAATCAAAAGGACTAACTTAAAGAAATAACAAAAAATTTAACTTCAAAATACTTTAATCTTTGATTTGCTTCATTGATGGCTACCTAAGAGCCTGGTCTAAAGGATTTTACTGCTTCAGCATCTAATTGCCATTATCTCAATCTTGATGAACATTTCCACTCATTTAGTATATTAATCAGATATGGTGTTTTGTCATTCACATAACTCCTATATATCAATGGATTCATTTCATTAAACAGTAAATTTATAAATTATAATAATATAACGACAGAGTAAATGAGATTTGAAATGTCTCAGATTTAGTCAAGATATTTTTACCTTTCTCTTAAGGGTGTTGATCTCTTGCATAGCTTTTTCATCCTAAAACACACGAGTATCTTATATGTCAGAAGCATATATATGCGTACGTTTCCCACAATCATAACTAATCAAAAGGAGAAAGGTTTTCAACATTGCAACCATAGGTTCTAGTTATGGATTTTAATCCCTTGTGAGAAATGAAATACCAAACTAGTAATTAATATTTTCATTTTGTCCACTAGGAAAAGGCAAAAGGTTAACTACTAAACTGTGAGCATCATTGATCATAGGGCACAAACCTTTACTCTTGAAACACTGGTCAAACCTCTTTTAAGATGTTCCTCTATTTTCTGCAGTTCTTGTAATGTCAATCCTTGTAGATCTTCCCCATGCAACTGCCTGTATCCAAGATGGAAAACCACGTCTCAGTGATCTAGTAGTAAGTTTATATGGTATATGTGCAACATATTAAACATTGCATGCATATATATATATATATATATATATATATATACATACATACCTCAGTTCACGATTCTTATCTTCTACTTTCTTGCGCAGGATGTCGTTGGAGTCACTCTCAACCTGTGCATAAATTTAAAAATAATCTTTAACTTTCCTGATTATGCAATTAATTTCAAATACAGTTAATTATACTTTATTTTTGTAGATTTCCATTTTTTTATTGCAGTCACGAGATAATGCTCATCAAAAGAAGACAAATGTTAGCATGGAAACTTTTATTAGCAGAAGTTTCAACTAGAACTGCTAATAACTGATGTCTGTATTTTTAAAAAAAATTCTCATATCTTCCACCCTCAGGCTCATTCTTAAGCTTGTCAAAACTTCAAGGTATTTAAGCTCACCCTCCACCTTGAAAAAAGATTGTGCTGAGTTACAAATGGTGAGTACTTCTTGTCCTCTCCTCACAGTCAACTAACTAAAACCTTTTTGCTGTTAAAAAACAACAATATCGTGTTGAAGTTTGCCTTTAGATTCATGTATTAGATTCTTCTAATGTGAAACTATTCGGGAGTTGAAAATAGATGTAAGTTTTTCATGTTAATTAATTAACATAGGTGATTAACAGATAATAATCGCTTAATTGAATCAGTATGATAAAACAGTAATTAGCATCCCCTTTCGTATGTAAAAATTGGTCATGTCTGTAAATTAATTTTCAACCTAAGTCTGATTGTACTTGAAAACTATGCTTGAGTATTGGACTTGTTAGAGAAATAGAATTTTGCATTCCCTTGGTTTCTAGTTGGTGAAATTATGACAACTTTGGGAAATGTTTGCAGAAATTAATTACAGTGGAGAATTAATAATGTACTTATGGATCAAACATACGAGGATAAAAATTTATTATAATCTTGGTATGAGCTATGAAAATATATACTTGTAATAATGATTATGTATTGCTTTAAATGAATATGCATGGTTATATAGGTGTCCTACATGTAATGTTTCACAGTAAAGAAGAAGGAACTAAGTCTATAAAAGGTGTTACGGTATTTTGTAATAGTAAGAAGGTTGAAGCAATTGTCCAGTAGTACAAAAGATGTAACAGAAATGACCGAGTGAGTTTTTGTACATTTTTTCACGAAAAATAAGGAAACAACGCAGGACAAGACTTGACAGAGAGAGAGATCCATTGTTGTCAAACATATAACCAAGTGAGCAACAAGTCAAATTACATGCCATAAATTGAACATGAATTCCAGATTTGACAGTTACAGTTTTGTAGGAAACTAATCGCAAAGGTACTGACTTATCCATGGGAGCTAAAATTACAACGAGGAAGATGCAGTCCTATTTACATAAGTGCTTCCTGTTATCATCAGAAATGAGCACAATACCCATGTGGGAGCATACCAAGATCAAAACCCTAATTTAATGTGTTTTTTTTTTCCCTTGTCCAACAAGAACAATGTTCCACGACAGCCCAGTGACACACCAAATCTCAGTCAAGTTCAGTCATGGATGATCGATGAATCAATCACTCAATGTCATGAAAAAGTGAGTCACACAAGCATATAAGACTTGGGTGAGTGGGGAAAGGTCCCGTGGCATCCTTAGAAGAGCCACTGTGAGCATGATGTAAATCACTTGATATGACATAAAAATGAAAAGATTTATGATGTGAAGTTTCGACACCTTAAAAATTATCTATAATAGTGGATAAGTTATCACCTTATTCAGATGATTTATAACTTAATTGCAATTGAAACACAAGCTTCTACATTCTTCATTATTGTTTTGTCACAAAATCAAACTAAAAAACGATCTAAATCACTTGATTTCTTTATATGAATTTTGAATTGAGGGATAATATATGAATATCTTTTATTTTTAATTATTTAAACAATATTTTTAATTTCTCTTTATCTTTCTTTCCATCACATTATATCATCTTATTTTTTTCTCTCACTAAATATTATTTAGGTTTCATTTAGTATTTGAATTGTTCATCTATTATTTTGCATTTGAATTACATGAGGAGACAAGCTAAGATACATTTTTGTCTTAATTTGATTAGGTACAATGGAATGGAAAAGTGAACCAAATGTTCCCAATAACAAAGCACTTTGTTTGTTGTATTGGAATTATTGTTTGTCAAATTGTGCTAATCACCCAAAATAATTAGAAGTGAGGAATCCTTTCAAAAGCATCATTTAGGAAGATGAGTTATCATGCATTCATTTGCATTTTTTTTTATGTTAATTTCACTCAATTTTTTATTTCTACGTCCTAATTTCTCATTGTATCATGTACTATATTTATTGTTTTTCTCTATCCCTTTAATTTTTTTTTTTATCTCTCTTCCATCTACCTTATGCCTCTAAATGGAGTATCAGATACTATTTGTATCAAATGCGACGATACAATTATTTTTAAAATAACATTATATGCTACATACAAGATAAATATTTAAAAATCAATAAAAATTCATAAAACATAATAAAGTTATAAATGTATACCAAATTAAAAACACGTTTTTAAAAATTACTAAAACAAAAAGAAAATATAATTCGTTATCATCATAAACTAATTATTATTTTCAAATAAAAATAACAACGTCAATTTTATTCAAAATAATGTTTTTAAAGAACGATACTTTATATTTCTATATTGCACGTACTTATTCATATAGTTTTTATATATAAATGTTTTAAAGGCAAGTATTGCTTCAAATTGAAAGAGTAAAATTTCAAGTACATGAATCAAATTAATATATTGATACTTTGGTTTAGATATTTCACCTGCTTATGGATGAACTGTTCAAGAGTAAATATTGAATACATATACCAAAAGCAAATAGCTATTTTCTGGGAAAGACATAGATGCAGGCGCTTTCACGAGAAATAAAAAAATTTCAGCAATAACATAATAGCACTGTGACATTATGTTCTTTGGCCCTTAAAAGTAGCGACTTGTATTTTTTTCAGTATGATATTTGTACTTAAAGAAAGGTATGTCCCTACATAGAGTTCGGAACTTTCCAAGAGCATAGAACAAAGGAGACATCCATCAACGAAAAGGACATGAAGGCAAAATAATACTAGAGTACATTTTAAATAAAATGTGTATGCGAAAACTCAAAACTCAAGGTAAAATTATAATATTGGTGTATACTAATATATCTTTATATATTTGATTTCCTTTTGTACTTAATTATTGGAGGTTTTCTATCTATGTTCCCTTAAACTATTTTTGCTTTATCAAATAATATATATGTGTGTGTGATTCAACCCAGAAGAAGTTTACAGGTGAGTTATGAGTATTTGAAAATATAAGAGTTCCATTTTAATAAACCAAAAATTCACAAATGCAAACCATAATAGTCACTTAAGAAAAACTAATAACTTATATTTGGGATTAATCCAATGTAGACATTTTGTATATATCATCAAGGACTGGATTATTAATGGTCCTGTGTTAAATATATCTCAGATAAAATTGGGGTTTTACTTCAAAGAAAACTCCAAATCTATCAACTTTTGCCTACCTATACATATTTTACTATTAATTTACAGCTAAAAGCCTAAAACCAACCACACAAGGTCTCTTTTCTTTCAGTGTTTATAGAGATATAGGATATAGTGAATTCTACAGAAACAAGCAATATCTTTCACTCAATAATTGCATTGCATGAGACATTATGTGAGAGATAAGGTGAGATTATGATGTGAAATCAATGTAAACATGCAAAAACTGTTTCATAGATGACCTAGATCAGCAAGCAATTACCCCAGATAAGAGATAAGAGGATTGTTTGGCAAAGAGTTTACTTATTTTCAGTATATAACCTGTTAAATCTTATTTCAGGATATATTAATATCATTCAAGCAACTACAATAGCAAGTTGATGATGTTACTAAGCTAACCTGAAGCTCAATAGAGGGATCGCGCCTTACACTAGCATGTTGATCCAATCTATGCATTGCTGAATGGCGATCAAACCTTTCAATTACTTGTTGCATACTGAAAACAACACATTGTACACAGATTTTCAATTTCCTTTCTTTCCTTTGATTTAATGGTGCTCATAAAATTAAGAACTTCATATCATTTCATAGCTCATATTTTGGTGATCAAGAAGACTAATGTAAATAAGATCTCATCCTCATATGTTTCCTACAGACCCATTTACCATGTAATAAAACCAGTCAACCAAATTTGATTTTTCTTAATTGTAGAAAATTGCATAAATTATACAAATATTCATTTTATTTCATATTGTGTTTCTTGTTTCGTTAAAATGATAAAATCATGAAACCAACATGTCCTCTCTATATGGTACATATCAAGCCTTCCTATGTGTGATAAAAACAAAAGTATTATATAAAGTATCAGTATCAGATATTCAAAAAGTGTGATAAAATTTGAAAAATATCATGCATGTTGCTTGATTTGATGAAATTAGTAGAGTTTATACAGTTAAGAATTTTTCATATCACTTTCTTTGGTCAAACATCAGCTAAATCGGTTAATTGTATTTCAGAAGAGTGACCATGAAATCAAAACACATTTCAAATATTTTTAATAAGATTACTTTTTAGCAAAAATGTTAAGAAATGCAAGCAACAATGTGTTGTTGCAGACATTTTTCTGCAGAATGGGGTTCCAACTTCTGCAGCATAAAGTGTTCCTTGTAGAGAAGTTTTACACAACTACTGATTCTAATTAACTAGTTTAGAAAAAGCAAAAGTTGGACAAACATTTACAAGAGAGTGTATGGAGAAGCTATTTTGACAAAATTCAATATTTAAAGACATTGTTCTAAGAGAGAGAGTGAGAGAAATTTTGTTTGGTAACAACCAGACAATTAAAAAAGAATTTCAAAACATGTAAGAAACCATAAATGCAGATATGTGTAAACAGGTAATAATAAACTCAGAAAATTCACTACTCTCTTCTGATCTCCTGAGTCAGTGACACAGTCATCACTATTCATATGATAAATAATATCTTCTCTTTGCTTCTCCATCCATAAAGGAAGAAAAATAACTATTAAGAAAACATAAATGAGTATAATCAATACTTGAGAAAACACAAAATGAAAGGAAGATAGAGATGCTGCAAATGGAATACCTTGAACTGGCATACTCAAAGAGCTTGCTAGTTGCAGAAAAGACTATGAGAGCTATGTCTGCATCACAAAGGGTAGACAGCTCCTGAGCCTTCTTGAAAAGCCCTTTTCTTCTCTTGGAGAAAGTCACCTGCCTAGAACTGATGTTGTCAATTTTCTTGATCTGTATCCTCTTTCTAGTCATCTCCCTATGTAAAAGAAAAAATCATCCAAACCATTACATCCAAGGGTCAAAAATAGGAAACAGAAACAAAGGCTTTCTCCAGATAAACAAATCAGATGAAATAAATCCACCGGATTTAACATCAAATGGAGAAAACATCAACAATTCTTAACAAAATGGATCCAGATAAAATCATGTACGGCTAGGAATAGGATGAAATCATAAACAAATTGAGACCACTCAACCAAATGTTTATATTTCGTACCTTAAACTACACTTACCCAGGAATTTAATTTGCTTTAGTTAAAAGACAAAAAAAATGTTTTTGCCATACATATATGAAAAGTGGGAGGTAGAGAGAGAAAGGATAGAAATAAAACACAACAAAGAAACAAATCAGTTTCTTGAAAAAGCAAAACAAGTAGGTGTGTTGAAGAAGAATCTTAGAACAAGGAGTTCTTGGCAACCAGAAAATGAAAAACTTGAAGATAAAGCAGTTGGAAAAGGAAAAGGTTGAAAGTGAGAACTTACAACAACAAAAAGGGTAAAGCCACCAATGCTTGGTTTGGCTTCCTGAAATGGGTGTTAAGAATGCACAACTCGAGTCCCCAACACGTTTACTTGCCAGTTAGATAGATATATGGGACACAATTTGATGTGGGAGTGGGGTATTACTCTTATGCCTTTTATGGTCAAGTTACTGCTGCTGTACTGCAACTACTAAATTTATGTGCCTTTTTTTCATTATTATTATTATTTTTATATATTAAAAAACAGGTGTTCAAACGGACAATAGTATTATTTGTAGTAAAAATAAAAAAAATCTATTTAACATCCAACTTCTACACATGATTATTTTAATCTCTCAGGACTCAAAACAAGTTGCAATTTAGTTTTAAACAACAAAAATTTGAATTCACCTCTAAATACACAAAAGTGCCAAAATATCACATGGATTGATTAATTAGAATTATTAATTATAATATATTAACATTATATGTAATAGAAAAAACATTGTTATCTTTTTTTTTTACATATCCTTATATAATCAAAATTAATATAAAATAAATTACTTATATCTGTAAATATTTTCTTTTTGTTTTAGTCTTTGTGAATATTATTTTATTTTTTACATTTTGTTTGTATTTTGTTAGTATCTATTATAAAATTTAATTAATTTAGTAAAAAATATAATATATTAGTTGAAAATTGATTATTTTTAAGTACATGATTTAATTAACTCAAGTATTTATTATAAGGATAATTACATATAATTTAATTTTTTAATATATTATGAACAATAATATTTATATAATTCTTTCAAATAATAACTACTTTTTTATTTATAAAATATTGTGAATAATACTATTTTATATTAATTTTAAATTGAGTAAAGATAGAAATGAATGATGATTATTTTTTATACATATAAATATTAATATATTTATAATTAGTAATTCAAAAACACTTATTTTATTTCATTTTTGGGATAAAACTAATAAACTACCGCGTAGCGGAGTGGGGTGGGGTTGATTCGTATTATTATATTGTTAAGTCATTTAAACATGAATTTTGAAGTAAAATATGAATTATTTCTTATTTTACTTCACATATTTACGTATAATCATAATTCGTCAAAAATATTTAATTGAAAAATACATAATAAGAAAATAGTGTCAATTCCACAATTTTTCACTAGATGGCTAGAAAGCAAGTGCAAGATTAGTATCAAGACAAAATTGTTATATTATTCAATTAAAATAATTTGGTCCTCATAATAGAAGAGGTTGCATCTAAAAACAATTATATATGTGCCATATTTGGACATATAAATGAGAACAATATGTTATATAAACAAAATTTAAAATAATTTACTAAAAAAATAAATTAACTTAGAAATGACAATGGTAAAAACTAGGTTACATTTAGCAAATTACTTAATACTCTTGTAGAGTAAAAAAATTATAATAATCATTAACAGATGTTAAGAAAATGTAGTCGTAGTTAAAGTGTAATTATTTTCAAATGAATTTGTATTTTAAAATATATTTAAGTCTTTATGTAGATTGGAGAATAGATTTGAGAAAGTAAAAAAGGAAAGAAATAAAATAAATATAATGGAAAATAAAATTATTTAGATTAAGAAAAAAAGATTAAAAAAGTTTCAAAGATTAAAAAAAAAAACACTACTAGATGTTAAGCTTTTGTTTGGCGCATGATTAAGAAGACCAAATGTTTTAAGGGAAATGAGAAACTCATTTATTAATAACTCAAATATCTTCAATAGTTTCTCACTCATCAATTGAATGTTAACTTGTCCTTCAAATGATGAGTAAAAGATGCATATAGTCTCCACCAAAAATATCAATTTTCCTTCCAATAACATCCCAACTAATAATCTTTGTTTTAAAAGTTGAGAAAGTCCACTCCTTTAATAAATGTTAAACACAGTTAGGGCACATTATTGAATTTTGAATGAGTTATAGATAGTACAAAACAAAAACTGAAGTTTTTTTTTTTTTTTCAATTCCTTGGTAACCATATTAGAAAAGCATGTTACCTAATAGATTTTTAACCTTATTATTAACTTTAATCATTTTACATAATTCAATCAACTGAATATCTAGTAAATTTATAAATAAGATAATCAATATGATTAAATTTTTAATATATCATGAATAATTATTTTTATACTATTTTTCAAATAATAATAACCTTTTTATTTATAAAATATTGATTGAACAAACTATTACATATAATTTGTATTTTATAATTGTATATTTACCATTTAATACGTTTAGTGAAAAATAATATTAATCTATTATGAACAAAATTATGTTAGGTTAGTTTTAAATCGTGTAAGGATAGAAAAAGAAAAAAATAATGATTAAATTATCTATCTAAAAATATTTAACTATCTTAACCTGAAAATATGTTTTACCTTAATTATATTAATTAATATTTTCAGTTTTAGTATTTTAAGCTAACCATAGTTAATGATAATAACTAAAAAAATAATTAGAATTTAATACTGACAATTATTATTGTAGAGACTAAGGATAAACTAATTTAGTAATATTCTACACATATAAAGATGGATATAATAATTTTTTGTATAAAATTGAAATTAAAACTTACTACACATAAACAAACAAAAAATTTACATGTGTAATAGTGTTATATATTTACATTTAGATTATCTATTAAGTTAAAAACATTGTTTTGTGAGTTCACATTAATATTAAGTTTTATATATACATTAAAGTAATGAAAGGTGAATTTTTTTACATAAAAAGTATAATACAATACTCCATGTTTTTCTAAAGATCTTCAATAATAATAAAAAAATCTACTTATCAGTGTTATCCACTTAAAAGAAACAGAATCCATGAATCAGTGGGCTTACAACATTGGTGAAGAGAAACCTGTGATTAGGGTTGGGAAAAGCAAAGTGATAGTATTATTTTCGGAAAGTAGAATTGATTTATTTATTTGGTTTTTCTCTTTTGGGTTTCCCACAAGGCGCATTGATTGGTGTCCGTACAGGTACCCATCTTGAATCGAGGGCTTGACAGCGACAACTGATGTACCCTCGTACTCACTACCCTACCCTCGTACTACCTTTCTCTCTCGCCTGGTCCCATGTGCAGGTCTTAATTCGTAGCAGAATCATATCCACAATTTTTGCTTCTTTTTTTCATGAATAAAGATTTCTATGTTATTCATTAATTCAAAAAATTATAATTGTTATAAAATTTCATAATTCTAACCTAAGGTTTACATGTTTGTACTGTGGTGAACGAAACACGAGAGCGGTTTTGAGAAAGAATTGGCTGTTTATTTGAGATGATTTTAGAATAAAAAGAGAGTGGAGTCCATCCGTACAAAAAATACATCAAAAGTTGTTTATTTTGTCTTAAAATAGTTGTTTTACTATTTCATATAACCTCTAACATGCCTTTTAAAAAATTATCTTCTAAAGCATTATACCAAGATAATGTATAATTTCATCATCACCAAACAACCTGTATCTCTCCTGGACATATAACTATGCATCTGAAAACATATTTAATAAATTTCTTATTAATATTTAAATTATTAATGTAATATAAACATTATTATATTATCAAGTTTATTTGTGAATCCTAGTCACAAAGCATTATCATTAGTCATGCGCGTTATTTGAAGGTATTGTTCATCTATTGAGTAGTCCAAAAATTATTTCATACTTTTTAGATATAAATAAACTTATTTATATGAATTTTCCTCATGTTTTCACTCGTATATTAACGATTGTGTTGAAATGATTGATAAAACTTATATTCGAGTTAAAATACTATTATTATATGTTTCTGTTTTTGTTGAAGAAAAGGTTGATAAATCTAAAATACTTTTGCTTATGATTTCAACATAAAATTTACTTATGTCTTAACTAGATGGGAAAGAATTGCTTCTAATTCTTAGATTTGAAAATATGTCCTAGCAAAGGAGGATTCACTCAAACTATCTATAGGTATGGATAATTGACTGAAGCTCAATATTTATTTATTCACATCAAAACTTAAATTATTAAGTAATATTATTTTTTGTAAGCAAATATTATAAAGGAGATATAGGGTTAATGTTGAAAGCTTAAATTATTATTCTATATCGGATGATTAGGTACCACCTTAAAAATTATTCACAAAAAAATCCTCATAACCCCAACAATTATTTAATCATCACCATTCTTCATCTAGAAATGTAATTAAGAGAACATTTGATGTTTTAAAAAATATCCTATTATAACAAGTGTGAAATCTCATTATTGTTTTGAAACATCCAAAAATAGTGTTAACATGTTATATTTTGCACAACTTTCTCTGTGGAGTAGATAATGACAAATCTTTTATGGATGAAATGGACCAAGAGTTGTTAGAGCAGTAAGATGATAGGTTTGTGACACAAGTTCATGAGCATGATTATAAAAAATAACTTCAGGGATATGATTGCAAATTAAATTTGGTTGATTATGAACAATAAATTAAACGTTGACTTTTTTTAATTGTACTATTTCATTTGTATAAGACAATATATTTTAATATTATGATCAATTTTATATTTTAAGATTTGTGTCATCGAAAAATGCATATAATCTTAACTCTAATGAAATGACCATGTTAAAATATTAACAGAAGGTAACATAAATTAGTTATTTGTAGGTTGATAATGAGCAAGGAGAAATGATAAGTTGGTCTTAATTAGGGTATATGTGAATTTACAAAGTGAACTAGAGATATGAATATTCAACTATTAATAATCATGATTGATGAGGCTCGAGCTGGGAATAAGATATATTGAAGTTGAACAAGTCAGGCATAATGTAACATTGTAGACGAGTTACAGCAAACAAGTTATACTAACATAAACAAAAGTAATGTAAAAAATAGATAGAAAACCTTAAAGATTGTTTGTGAGAGATACATGATTTGTGTTAGTGGCTTGAATAGTTTTACTTGGAATGAGATCACTAGAAGATTTGAAGTTGAGCCTGAGTTTGGAATAATTTGATTAAGGTATTATATTGAATATTATATTTTAACAACTAATTGTAATAATGAAGATTAACAATAATTGTCTATATTTTGTTTTTCATACAAAATCATCGACTTCCAATTGGCATGCCCAATAAAATTTTATGACTTGTTAGAAGAATTGTGGGGAGCTGATTGTGTTACTGACCACATGGACTTAGATGGTGATCTAAATGATGTTGGTGCAAATCGTTTATACGCACCATGAGTATAATCTAACATTTCATGAGATATAGTCGGGTCCATGGACTCATACAGTTTAAGGTTCTCTCCATTTATCCTTTTTTAAAAAAAGTCTTCATCATGGGGCTCCTTGAGAAAAACTAACATGGTAGATGTAAACTTGAATGGTTAGTTTGAAAGTATGAGCATAGGGATACACAAACTGGTGGATAACATTTGTGAGAGCAATAAATTCTTTACAAAATTGATAAAGATGGTCGAGCATCAAAACAAATTTACTTGATAAGTGAATAAGTCATGCTCCAAAGAAGTTTCGCAATACTGCAACATTCAACAACTGATATTTGGAAAAACTTATGTCAACCCAATTTGCATGATGGTCAATGGATGTTACAATACTATGAGTTTCTACAAAAATACCCCATCCATAAGTGTATGCTTTTTGGCATGTCACAAGAGTTATAACTAAACTATTTGTTTAAGCATATGACTGTGGAGACTTGTTTTAGTTTATTTCTGAATTTTGATTTGTAAAATAATGTTTAAAATATTTGAACTTTTATATATTGATTGTTTTATTCAAGTGTATTATTTGTGTGTCAAATATGGCAAGTTAATGTACTTTGGTTGATGTACTATTTGTAAAATATTGTTTAAGTGTTCTATTTATATTTAGCTATCTTGTTTATGGTTGATTGTTCTATTTATACTTTAATATGGAAAGTTCATGCATATAAAAAAAATGCAGTAATAGTACTTACATTTATATGTTTTAAATCATGTTGTCTTCATCATCCTCCAAAAGACCTAAACATATCTCATAAAGTAAGGGAAAAAAGGCACGAGAGAGTGATATAGATCATGGTTGTATTTCAGTAATGAAAGAAATAAAAAAATATCATGCATACTATGTCAATAGATCCATAATCCACCTAAAGTTAATGGACTTTAACTTTTTTGTTATAGCTGGATTCTAATTCCCCTAACATTTGTCTTTTCAGGTGCTAAAAATATTTCTAGCTTTGATAGGTTGTTATTATGAAGACCTCGTTAAAGTTTTCTACACAAATTTGACATTGGATGACACAAATGATTTAGTAAGTGAAATCTTACAAAGGTAGATCAGGATAAAGTTTGATGGTTGACTCAATGTTGCCCATTTGAAATGTCAAGGTCGTTGGATTAATCTTGTTAATATTCTTAAAAATTTGGGATATGATAGGGAAGAGGTTTTGGCTGCAATGGTTAGACTGGAATTACATGTATAGACTTGTAGGAATGTTAGTAATTTGACTATCAAGAACAAATTTTTACATTATATGTATATGTGCATATTTTGAGTCCTCAAGTGTTTTAGGATGATATTTTTATAATATGATGCATAAAACATTGCATTCTAATTAATTTACCTCATTGTATCATTTAATGTATGAGAAAGTGCAAAACTAGTGATATGTCTGTCTAATGGTCTTTTAATTAATCATATTCTACTACATTTAGGGATTAACTTAACTTTAAAATCAAGTACTACTTAGGATGATCAAATAGATTTAATGAAAAAAATTTAAAAATTTTGAATATAATAAACATAGTGCATGACAACATGTTAGAAGTCACCATGTTTAACAGCTTGACCTTGAGGAATATAATCCTTAGTGGAGATAAAGATGTGAGGGTCAACAATTACAACCAAGGTTTCAAAGAGAATAAGTAAATCTTTTCTATCAAGATGATACAATAAACTTAATATGGAATATTTAGGATTCATCTTCAAAGAAGTAATTAACTATATACATCATAATTGATCATATAGAGTCAATAGACATAAATTGATGTTATTAGTATTATTTTTATGTATGCATTTTTATTTAATTTTTTTATGTGTACCATTTTTTATTTATTTTTTTTATGGTTATAATTTCTATTTATTTAAGTTTTTTTTATGACTGTATTTTTATGGACATGAGTGTACTTTTCTTTGGAAATTATTTTTATCTCGAATGCTATATTTTTTTTACACAAATTTCTACAATTTTAATATTACATATAAATTACTATAAAATAGTTTAAATATTTCTATAAAATATGACAAGTTATTTCAATAATTTATATATAAACTAATTTTATTTTTTAAATAATTACTTCATAATAAATTATATCACTATTTTAATTTATATATATTTTAATTAAAATCAATGATAAGGGTATTTTTATCCCTCATCATTTTATCTTATTATTTAATTTTTTAATCAATCTTGTCTGGTATAATCTTTTCTCTAATTTTTTTTTTCACTTTTTACTATTTTTCTCCCTTCAAAATAACCACACTTTCCTTTTTTTTTTTTCTTTTTTTACTCCCTCAAATTCATTCCCAAACCCAAACAAAACCCAAGTGCAATTTGAAGGTTGCATGGAATGGGACAAAAATCCTCCTAGCACAAGATAGACATTACGTTCAATTACACCTTTACTTTGTTGTTTTTCTTTCCAATAGTGAAGGTGTTTCTCCATGGATAGATCTCACTCTCATTTCTTCCAAAATCATCTCAAATAAGCATATACAACACACCTAATTTCTTCTCAAATATGCTGCCTAATTTCATTTACTTCATTTCTAACTTGAAAGCAAACACAAGCTAAATCATCTTATTTATTCTAAGCTAAAAATAAAAATTTATAGGATGTATGCATGTTAACTCCTCATACTTTACTAAATTTATCATTTAATTTAATTAAAAATATTAAATTAGAAATTTTTTATATTTTTTAAAGATCTTACTCGATTCAACTTATTTTTAATTAAATTGGATTAATTGATTTATAAGATTTTTCAAAATATTTTTTTATTTTTTTATTTGAAAAATAATTATTATATTTTAAAAATAATTTTAGTAAATAAATTATACTG